AGGCCCTGAGACATTTAGGGCTTTAAAGGTCAACACTATCACATTAAATTGTGTCTGGTAGACCACTGGTAGTCAATGCAGATCTTTCAGTACAGGCATATGATCCTTATATCTAGCACTCATCTGCAATCTGGCTGCTGTACTGTGTAAATTTCTGGACATTTTTCAAAGCTAGTCCCAGGTAAAGCATACTATGTAAATTGAGGCCGATGGATAACCAAGGCAAAGATAACTGTCACTAAACTGCTGGTTTAGGAAGGATTGCAGTTGGTGCTCTAGCTGTAGTTGTGCAAGGGAGGACTGGAAACATTGCAAAACAATACTCTGAAGGCACCACCCTGCCAGATAGGATGCCAGGGTCAATGGTATCAAAAGATGAAAATAAGCCAAGAGAACCAGCAAGGTTGCACTCTTCCATCTAGTTTCTGGTGTAGATCATTCATCAAAGCAGTCTTGGTATCACATTCTAGAAGAAATCCTAAGTATAACTGTACAGTAAATGAATTACTTCCATATGTATCGGGAGCTATGAGGCCATCACTTCATCAATCATCTTACCCATGACTAGAATAGCTAAGACTGGCCTACAATTAGAAAGATTTCAAATTAAAGGAGGGTTTTCTCAATAAGTATCTTAAAACTGCAGGTCTTTTAAGCCGGTCAGCACGCATCCCACATTCAAGGAGGTATTAATTAATCTTGGAGCCAGCCCTAACCTAGCCAATTTAATCATCCAAAAAAGCAAGCACTGAACAAGCAAGCCTTCATCTCTCCATACAACCTGTCTACATCCTCAAGATCTACAAGCTAAAAAGAATTCAAGTGAACAATATGGCCTACATCAGCAATGGTGACCAAACCAAGATGAATTCAATTGACTCTGTCTGCAAAGAATAATGAAAATTGCTTACAGCAAGCCTTCAACTCTTCTGGCTCCCTTCCTCCAGCATAACTGTACCCAAATCTGGGATCTGGGGAAGGCTTGTGGTTCTAGGGTCTCAAGAGTATATTTCACTTGTTTAGCATCACATGTGCTAATGAAGCCCAGAAAATCTCAGGATCTTGCATCCCCTGCACAGCAAAAAGAGGTATGATAAATTCAGGGTTGCACAACAATGATGAGTTTCTGCAAATCTGGTTTCTGCAAATGGTTTCTTGAAACTAAATATGGCAAGCTTGATTTAACTATGTTTGACTAAAAGTGGAAGCAAATGTCCCTGAACTCTTTCTCTCAACTACACGGGAAAAGAGAAACTTACACACATCATACTAAGTCATGGTTTAACTTCTGTTGACAAAACCATAATTGTCTGTTCGGTTGACAGTTGCTGGGTTCAAACAAAACTCTAAGCCAATCATGTTACAGCTTAGCATGTTGTACAAACCAAGCTATAAATGGGAGGTCTCAAGATCACGACTGCACTGATACTGCACTAAGATATGGTTTAACTAAGGTTTACTTAACTCAAAATTAGCAAGATTTGTAAAAGATGCTAAGCTAAAAATAAATTATGATGTAGCAACATATGAGAACTCAAGTTTTGCATTCACATAATATACTGAACAGCAAAGCAGCCAGTCCATTTTAACTCTGTGCACCATACAAACCCAGCCTGTGCTGATAGTTACACGCAAGCTCAGAAGATTGGGTTAATTTGATAAATCACAGCTAAGTTCATAATGGGTAAACATGTAAATCAGCACACAAGTCACTGATGGAACCATCAGAGAAACCAGTCATCTTACCTTTGATAGCAGTCACAGTTATCTTTCATGCATGGCCTGTAGTTCTTCACTGCCTTGTCAATCTGAACAAGGAATTTTTTCCAGTGTGTATCTAAAAATTAAATAATTGTACGAATTTCATTGTTATTTCCACCGTGTTGTTAATGCAGGCAGTTTTCATACATGTTCTGTTAATACTGTACATACAGGATGAATGGAATTGGATTTACAGTTTTATGATAAAAGTATTCACCTTTTCCTGTAATAATACTCGTTCCAAAGATATGCAAACATTCAAAAAATCCAAAAAGGGTTAAATTTTTCCTCCTAAATTTTACATTTAAGTAATTACAGGGAAATACATTATGAACTTCTTGTTAGTACCTTTACCAGTACCTGATAAATATAACATTAAAAATAATGTTTCTTTGTTTTACAATATTTTTACTTATCATTAATATATCATTGTATCTCTTTAATTTCCTTTGAACATTGAATCTCAATGTTTAGCAAGTTGAATTTTATTTTTGCTCTTCTTCCTTGAATATTAATGTATTTTTTCATATAAATTGCCCTGAGTTTTGATGAACATGAGAGTTAGCTAGTGTGCAGATTTGTGGTGGTACATTAATTGGATCCAAAGGAAAAAAAAAGGGACTTGCAAATTAGAGAGAAATGAAAGTTATGAAACTTGCCTCTTATTTATGGTTTAATTCACCTGCATGAATGATAATTTATTTGCTCTAAGCAAATTATTGTTTTGATCAAGAGGTCAATGTATGGTATGAACAGATGAACTGTGGAGTTAACTGTCATTGACAAGCCAAACTAATGTATTTTTTAAGAGAAGTTCTTCATCTTCTCAGTGACCATGCCAAGCCACAAATTCCTTTTTGGTATGTATAATTATGCCCACAGAATGAGATGGTTTTAAATGCAGTAGCACTCAGGTAGCATTTAACGCTCAGGTAGCATTTAATCTCATAAAACGATGTGCTGATATTTTTATATTGCAAATAAAGCTGCATTGCATTCTTGTACAGCCTGGGGTTCTTTTGACACAAGGGACTATAGAGTCCAGACTCAGCATTGCCAACTCTAGCTCAGAGCAATAGTTACTTTACTCCACCATATATTAAAGGCAGCAAATTAGCAGAAACAGCTTTAGTTCCATTCTCCAATGTCTGAAGGGAAAAAAAAAACATACTCCAGCAATAATCAAATCATTGCTTAAACAAATCTGCAGATGCAACTTTGCCTGGGTAAAGTTTTCTTTTTCATTAATTATTTTATTTAATCTGCATAAAATGTAAAAGTAGTGTAGGAGTAAACTGTAAAAGTAGATTTAAGGGATTAGCAGCACTCCACATTTCATTTGGAAAAGTTGCTTCAAAGGTAGAGAACAACCACAGGAAAAGATGCAGCTACTCAAAATGGACATAGGCATGTGTTATGCCAAAGCACTTTTTTGGAATTGAATCAAAATGCTGCACAGGCCTAATAAATGACAAAAACAGATACCATCATGTAGTTTTTATGGTTAAGATTTCTCAGTTTGTTAGTCCCTCTTCTAATACACAAAAATGTAATGCTTCCTAGATGTGTACAGTAGTGAGAGAAACTCCCAGAATTCATCATGGTGGCCAAGATTTCTGATAGGTCTAGAGGATACCAAAATAACTTGGTATTTTAATTTGGTAAATTCATTCTGAATTATTTACATAACAGCATAATATTACTAATAGCTAAAGCGTATCAGGAAACAATTACTGAAAACTAAAGGGACGTTCCAGGTGAGTGTTCAAATCTCTGGCAAATAAAAAAAGGGAAACCTGTAAAGGAACACAGTATGATTTGTGGCTCTGAACAACGAATGAGTCGAGAGAGTCAAGAGTGAGACTGTGCGGAAAGAACTGGATCACGCACATCAGTGCACTGCAAGACAAACCTGTAACGAGACACCCTCTGTCCCGTCTGCTTCCAATCAGTGATAAATCATCCTAATAACACTCACCTGCTGAGCTATTCTCCCAGCAAACAGTAAACAGAAACAGAGTAACAAGTCGCAAAATCCCAAGAGACAACAGCAGACGCCGCATGACGCCGAATACCAATCTAGAAAGTTTACGCACGCGCCCACAAATCCTCCCGTATTCCTCTGGCACGATTAATTGAAAAAAGGAAACGCCGATTCCACTAGCCCCACCTCCACCGGCAGCAGTTACTACGCAAGCGCAGAAGTGGTGTCCCGACACGGTCGCGTTGGTTTATGGGGTTTGTAATTTATCTGGCAGGAAAGCCGGTCGCTGCTTCGTACGGTGAATCTTCGAGTACTGACAACAGAAGCATATTGTAAATTCATGCCACCTTCGAATATGTACAGACGTAGACTATGCCCCACGGAGCTCCGTGGTCTTATTTCACCCGCCGAGCACAAGAACCCGTTGAGTCCTCGGCAGTTGTTTGCTGGGAAATCACCCCCTTGGGCTCAGTGATCGCTTACTTGATCGCTCTGAATGCTCAAGTCCGATTTTTCGGGCTCGAGTAGGGCGCAACGGGGGGAGGAGTTGACGTTCCGCTGCGTCGGAACTGCCTGCTAGAAAATGGCCTCCCGCCCCGGGCCGAGGACGCCGGTTATTGTCTCCCAACCGCCGAGCTCTCCCAAAGCTGCGCGGCGCTCCGAAGCGCAGCGAGGACGAGGGTGCTGGAGGTCCTCATCTAAACAAGGCGCAGGCAGGGCCAACTACGGGAAAAGACACCTGTGGGAGATCCAGAGGGCCTTGGTCATTCATCGTCAATGGCAGGGGTGAACTTGTAATTTGTATTGGAGGACGTGTGGAAACTTAATTCTGTATGTATTTACTCACTGTCCAGAGCTTAAGCAATTTGCAGGATCGTATTCCTGCAGAACATGTATTAAACAGCAGCTTTTCCTGCACAGCCTGATCATCCATAAAGTCCCCAGGCATATTTTAGCCTAGTCTACGGGGTTAGCTGATCTGCAGGGTATCATGTGAACCCGGAAAATAAGATTGAAAAAAATCACGGTTCTGTAAGCTGTTCTGCAAACAGCGCTTCACACTTGCCAAAGTTCTTTGCGCAGTTAAGACCGGATGGGAAGACAGTAGGGTTTGTTCATAGACTGGAAGGAGTATGAACTGGTGGGAACAAACAGTACTAAAATAATCAGGAATATTTTTCCATAGGTAGTGAGAGCCTGTGTGCTGCAAAACAATAACAATGGATTTGTAGTTATGCTGGATGTTACATTAAACATTAAACAATGCAGGGGGAAGGCTCTCAGGCAGGAAATAAAATAGGTAGAGGGGAAAATAGAAGAGAACTGCACTGATGGTATTATCTAGTTGGGTAATGAAATATCTGCAAGCGAACAACCAAACTTAGAGAGCACCGAGGACTCCACAGAGGGGAAAATGGCAGCATTGTTTAACATGAGTGATCTCCCAGTGACCCAAAATCCTGAATTGAGAAAAATAGCACACATTTAATCTCTCTGCTACTCTGCTCATATTGACTGTCACATGGAGGTCTCTTAACAGGTTAAAGCTTGTACTAGTTACCTAACAGAAAAGAAGAAAAGGAAATAGCATAAGATATGCCTGAGTTTTATTTTTCTAGGAAGATTTTCAAATGATATATTTGTAATAGATGCTCATTCATCAGTTGCAATCAGCATTTCAAATGGGAAGATGGTCTTTACTGTGACTGAGTACACATGGCAGCTGATCTGGAAAAAAAAATCACCCAGTTTCCTAACAAAGATAAAAGAATGCAATTACCCAAGTAGGATGCTGATTCAGAAGTGATTCAAAGACACCATATGGAAGTGGCCTATCCTTCAGGAATTTTGAAATGGGTGAGATGTGGATCCAGTGCAAACAGACTGACAACATTTATTGCATTCACTACAGTGCAACACCTTTTCTCATTAATATTGCTTGTTCTTCTCAGATTCAGGAAGTTTTAATTTTTGCAAAGTAGGTGAACATTTAGAAAGGAAAAGCTGAACTTTACCACTATATTGGCACACTGAAAGACTGCACCAGGTTATGAGAGTCACACTCAGTATCATTGGACAATAGTTATGAAGCTTAGGTGAAATTGATGGGCTTTCTCTTTTTGCTTGCTCTGGTGTTACTTTTAGTACTTTGTATGTATTTAGTTACAGTGCTGAATATTAGCTAAAGCAGTCTAGCCCTGTCTTTTGCATAGCTTCTCAGAATTTAGCCTCACTTGGTTTAAATAGATGCTTACTTGCAAGAAAATGGCTGTAAGATTAAAGTATTAGTATTTTTTCAGATCTGAGCTAAATCACACTTATTTCTTAGTAAAACTTCTTAAATGATTCTTAGTAATATAAAATGGAAAAGGAAAAAAAGAGGCAAGGAAATGTGTTTGTATGTAAAATAGGCTACAGTCTTGTACATTCTCCTACATGAGAGTAAGTTTCACTAAATTAGTGGAATTTTTTTTTTTTTAGAAAGTAGATTGGAATGGGTTAGAAATCTGAACAAAATTTAAGATGTTTTGAGTCTTATACTTGCTGACCATAATTTTATGTCCTTATCCTTCTAGGTTCTTAATAGCCCATGATATTCTTTACTGTGAATATCTAATACAGCAAGGTATTAATTTACTTGGAGACACCAGTAATCTGTGATTAACATTCATACCTGAGCAAAATTCACTGCAGTAGCATCATGTAATGTCCATAATTGTCCTGGTGGGACTCCACATTGATTTTCAATAATCTTTTCTGTTCTGGAAATAAAAGTAGATTCAGTTGCTTCATGGAAACATAAGACTCAACATCAATAGACAGCAGGAACTTTAAAAAAGTGGTCTTGCAGAACAGTCAGAATGCATTTCAGTACTGTAACATCAGGAAACCTACTAAGATGGAGTAGAGAATCTTTATCAGTGAAGGAATTCATTTCTATTTATATCTGTGTGTACTTTAAATAAAACTCTTCCAGTTATGCACAATTTCACCAAAACTTTAAATGAGATTATTCAATGCAAAAAGATATATTGCTGTGAGAAAACATAAGCATCTGGGGAATCCCTCATGCCCTCCTATTCCAGTCTCTTGTTAAATAACTCATCAAACTTCTATCTGAGGTTTTGTGATTTCATAGTTCACTAGCTTTCTCCAACTGATCATCCCAGGAGAAAAACTGCCAATAACGGATAATTAAGTTGCATGGGGCTCTATTAAAACTTTACGAGACAATATTTTTGAGATCTATACTTGCAAATTAGCTGCAGTGGGCATTGTTAAGAAGATACTGTTTGCATAAGAAATAAACAGGAGAAGGATGTACATTAAACATATTCTCCATTGGCTGAAAATTGCAGCAAATTCATTTTAATCCATTCCAAAATTAGAAATACTGCCCTGAGCATTCATTAAAGATGCTATTGCTCATCAGGCAGACACATCAGGACAGAACTCCAGAGACAAACTTCCTTTCTCACATATAAGATGATTCACTTAATAATAAAATGCAAAAGAAATTGAAACCCAGTAAAACTTTTTATGAACTGAATAAAAGTAGCTAATGCTTGGATAGACTGATGTTCATACCATATATACTTACAGATAACTCTACATCATATATTTAGTATTTTTATGGCTTCATTAGTGAAATTCTTTCATTGAAATATATCATAGGCTAATGCTACTGTTTATCCTTGGAGAAGATATTTTCAAGAATGCCTCATTCAAGTGAGATATGTAGTTGTATTGATATGGATGCTATAGTATGTGCTAATAAAGTCATAAAATATCTTTATTCTCATGCACACATAATTATTTGCAGAATTAGTCCATAGGGTTAAATTATTTCTAATCAGAAAGCTAACCTTTAAAAATTTAAGAACATATCAGAGCTTTTGGAAACAGTAATTGTTCTCAGTTTGGAGACCATAATGAAATATAATTAGAACGCTAAATATTCTATTTATAGGCAGTTGTTCTAAAAAAATTAGAGAACTGCATAGGTTCTTGGGAATCCTTCACATGCTATATTTTAGGATACCGTCAAGTTGCTTTAAGTACATAAGGTCAAAAACAGTATTTCCAGAACCATTTGCTACTAATCTTAAATGAACATATCTGTGCTTTATTTGCTTATTCGTTTGTTATATTTATATGCTGCCCATTCCTGTAGGCTCTGGGCAACTAACAATGTCAACATAAAATTATATACTAAATCAACCAGTACATCTAAGAATGTCAAAATCGGAAAAGATACAGAATTAGTGCATTGTTCTGAGTTGCCATATTTCTTTCTCGTTAGCTATTTTAATTTTTTTCTGTGCAACATAATCGTGACTTCTAAGAGTCCAACCCTTGTCCCAAAGGAGGGCATGCAGTGAACAAATTAAATCGTATATGCAATTATGTGTCTCAAATAAAAGTTCTTGGTTGGACCTAAAATAAGCTAAGGCCCTGCCTGGCATTCAGGGTGGAGTCATGGATGATGGTTTCCTCATCACTGCACTCAGTGCCAAAAAAGCTGCTCAGTGCACTGGTGTCTGTGGAAACCTGAGAATCCATTAACTTTTTGTGAGGAAGACCAAAGGGCATCTATTACATATTTTGTAATAGGCAGAAGGAATAATCTTGAGAAACAGGAGGACGAGCCACTACCAAGACAGTGGTCAGATAAAAGAAACCTGAGCCTGGACCAGAACTATAACCTGAGAAAACATGTCAGACAAGACTCTCCCTAGTTCTCAGGAAGATAAAGGGAGGAAAGAGAGAAGCACATTTAGACACTGCTAGATTCTGTTACCATAACCTTATAATAAAAGTAGTATTGGCCTGGTAGTATTCCTAGTTTGGTCTATCTTCAACTGCTAGCTTTATGCTGATCCACTACCACTGTATATAGACAAGATATCATCACAATATCCTTTTCTATTTGGTTAATAGGCCTGCCAACCATTCCATTAATATTTATGTTAGTGCAAGTGCTATATTGTACGCAGTTTGAGGGATTAACCAAGAGATACTCTTTCAGTCAACAAATAAGGGAGTCCCCTAAGAAGCCAGATGGCAAGATAAGCTGGCTAAGCAGCTGGAAGACAGGAATGGTGCAGGCAATGGTATTCCCTGTGACACTCTACGGAAGTAAAAGCAGGATAGAAAGAATACTGATGCCTTTAAAATTTGGTGTTGGAGAAAACTGAAAATACCATGAACAGCCAAGAAAACAAATATCATTGAACAAATCAACCCAGACTTCTCACTCAAGGAACAAATAACCAGGTTCAAATTATCCTACATTGGACACGTTATGAGAAGACTAAGCAAGGATGGACTCAGTTATAAAAATTTCAAAAACTGCCCATGCTGCTGC